TCCAGCCGGGTGATGAGCTTGAACACGGGCGGCAGCACCAAGTTGACCCCGGAGATGAAGATGGACGGCAGGTAATCCACCCCGAGCTGGAGCAGCCGCGTCCGGCTGACAAGGGGCAACTTCTGGGAGGGAAGGGGGCCGCGAGGAGAGGCTGGGGTCCCGGAGGAGCCCCCACGCTGGAGGGGGTTCCCCGGCCTCTTCCTTCCGCACCCCGAAGTCTGAGCTCCAAACCCAACCCGCCACCCTCCTCCCTAAGATCCCAGGCGTCATAGGCCTCAGTCCCCTCCGCCCTTGGAAATGTAGGTTCCAGGACCCCCCACCCCCCTCCCCCGGGCCCTGCGAGACAGTCCCCTGGGGCGCCGGCTCCCAGGCCCAGCCCGCGGCCCACAGCCCCGGCTCCACTACGAGGGAGGCAGCAACACCCCGCCCAGGACTGCTGTCACCTTGTCTCAGCCTCTCCAGGGGGCAATTCATTTATTTTTTAATGTATTTTTATTGATTTCAGAGAGAGGGAGAGAGAAACATCATTGATGAGAGAAAATCATGGACCGGCTTCCTCCTGCAAACCCCACACTGGGGATCGATCCAGCAACTCGGGCACGTGCCCGGACCAGAATCGGCCCCTGATTTCCTGGTTCATAGGTTGACGCTCAACTGCTGAGCCGCACCTGCCGGGCTCCAGGTGACAATTTAGATCTCCTGGCCCCGCCCCCCGAGGCCACACCCAGCACCAGAAGCCCCCCCCAGGCCCGGCCCCTGAGGCCACACCCAGTGCTCCCCCAGGTACAAGTTCCAGCTCAACTTCATCCAGCCATTCCCGGCGACACCCTCCTCAGCTCTGAGCCCAGCAGCTCCAGGCCCCGTCTCTCTGCTACAGCGAGCGCGTCCCCTTATCCTTTGACCTCAGGCCGCACCTCGGCCTCCTCAGATGCCATTCATTCCCCAAGGCCCGCCCCGTCCAGCATCTCCCCTGAAGTCCCCTCCGGAGGCCCAGGCCTCGCCCTCCCGGTCCCGGGTTTGCAGGCCCCACCCCCGG